GGCATCGAAATGGAGATTCTTACAAGGAGAAGCACCTAATGTCCACTGTGAAATATGGTGGTGGGTCAGTCATGTTTTGGGGCTGCTTTAATTCAAGAGGTCCAGGAGCACTTGTAAAGATTAATGGCAGAATGAATTCGACGAAGAATCAGGATATTTTGGCTGACAATCTGGTTTTCTCCACCAGAAGTCCGGGACTTGGCCGTACGTGGACTTTACAACAAGACAGCGACCCAAAGCTTACCTCAAGATCCACACAGAAATGGTTCTGTGATAACAAAATCCACGTTCTGCAATGGCCATCTCAGTCACCAGACCTCAATCCAATTGAAAACCTGTGGGCTGAGTTGAAGAGGGCAGCTGATAAATGCAACCATAAGAATGTGAAAGATCTTGAAAGGATCTGGTGAGAGGAATGGTCCAAATTCCCCCCAAATGTGTGCCTTATCCTTGTCAAAAATTACAGAAGACTCCATACTGTTATCCTAGCCGGAGGTGGTTGTACTAAGCACTAGATCAGGGGTCTCCAACCCTGTTCCTGGAGAGCTACCATCCTGAAGGTTTTCACTCCTGACAAACCAAAACACACCTAATTGCCCAGCTAGAGATCCTGATGAGTAGGCAATTAGTTGAATCAGGTGTGCTGAATTAGGGACAGAGCAGAAACCTACTGGATGGTAGCTCTCCAGGAACAGGGTTGGAGACCCCTGCGCTAGATGAAGGGTGCCAATAATTATTAAACCTTGATTTTGTTTAAATAAATGTTTTATTAAATGATTGTTATGATTTTGGTGATTTTCCATCAAAACATTAATAAAATACTTCACACGTGATGATATATTCCGTTTATTGTTTGTACATTGCCAGTCAGGGGTGCCAGTAATTTTTGAGCCCACTATATGTGACACCTCCCATCTCCCACCACCGCCTGATGCCGTTGTTGCTGGCTTACAGGATCGTCATGGAAACCTTCCTTGAATAAAGCCTGTATCTGCCCCATGAATAGAACAAAGATCCTTACTGCCCCCGCCCCCTCTTAACTCTCCTTCAGGAGTCTCCTCATGGGTTTTAGCCCTTCATGAATGTCTAGTGCCAGTGAAAGCATGCTCTTTGTGTTGTGTATTCTCACGTACACAATGATTTTTGAGTGATATTACGTAAATGTTTTTGTCTAGACTCTATTTGTGAATGTACTTCAATTTTTTTGTTCTGTATCATAATGTCTCTTTACGTATATCTGACCTTTTTTTGAGTGTATGTGTATTTATGTGCCTGTGTGGTTATGTGATTTTTAAAGTGTTTTCAGGCTGGTAGTGAAGAGTTTATTCTGCCCTAACTTAGTGTGACCCTGCTTATCCCTCCTTCTCCCCCAGGTGGGCAGTGAGCAGCAGCAGGTGACGCAGGAGCTGAGCACTGAGCAAATACTTTCTGTCCTCCCCTCCTTCCCCCATGGGACGGATGGCTGCCGAAGCTCTGGTCCGAGCCGCTAATTACTCCCACCCGATGGCCTTGCAGGAGGTACGCTTCAGACAGATGACAGAAAACTGATGAAATCATCGACCTGTCCCTTTACACTACAGGCCCCGAACCTGTCATCATCGTCCACTGCTATGCTCCCACTGTTTAGAATGCATTACGGACCACAAAGTATCGGTTATTATGAAACAATTAATAATATAGTGCAAGGAATAATTCTAAAATAGGAAATTAAAGTGCGCTTGATATAGTACTTAAGAGGTGCAACATTCTGTCTCTGATAAACGCAGAATCTCTTCCATCAAAAAGTAACTGGTGTGTACAATGTTTGTTAATACAGTGAATGCACAAACATATACCTTGAGAAGTACTTGTCCGCAAACCTGTTACTGAATGTTACGATAAATGGTTACCTAGCACTCTGTGCGTGATGAGATGAAAGAATTTAGATGTTTTTTAAATGGCATCCATCTTTGTGCTTTGCCACATTTAAAAAAGAAAAAAAGAACACGTGAGTGAGGCAGTCATCTGATGTGGTACTGTGTGGGAGCAGGACTCCGCCCCATGGAAGTGGCGGAGGCTGAGTGCTTCTGCTACCCCCCCTTCCCTCATAGGTCATCAAAGCTGTTGTTTTAGGTAAGAGACCTAACGCGCATTAGCCCACAGAGAGAGGGAAGATGTATCAATCATTCATGATGTGCAAAGGTCTGGCCAGCTAAACAGAATGATTTATGCAGCACACTTCAATCAGAGAACTGCACCAAGGCGCCTCACTCATTGGAGCTTGTGAGGCATTAATGTTTTTTTAAAGATCGCGCTGTCCAGTCTTAGAAATGAGATGGTGAGCCCTTATCGATGGCACTCTGTGTTCATTGTTTCTCTTGAGTGGACACCCAAAAATGAAACATCTCGCTGTTTTTCTGTATAAAATGCATTTTCACCCTTTCATGATCATTTATCAACATTCTCTCACGAGCACACGGCTTTGTGATACGGTAAGCATGTCAGTTTCTATGTGCTGGGTCAAATGAACCTCATCTATTGTGTTTAGGAACTGAGTAAGTGTAAAATTAAATGTTATCAGGGGGATGTCATGCACAGAAGTACCTGTTCACTTGTGCTTGAAGCCTTTCTGATGTGTTCATATACAGATTTGGCAGCTATAAAGGGCGTCCTTTTCGATCGATACCTGAGAATTAGATGTAGACGCACTCACGCTCAACACATTTTCCACACAGTGGATGTGTCTATTTGCCTTGCTGTAGTGATATCCGACTCTGGAAAATTGGACGGTTAGCTTACTGTATCAGGGTAAAAACCTTGGGATATAAAATGGGGTGGAAGGTTTGGCAGATGATTGGCAGGTTTAATGAGTTGTGTACATGGCTGTATATCCGGATGGAGGCGCGGCAGGTGGGGGGTGGAAGGTTTGGCATGTAGTAGGCAGGTGTTATGAGTTTTGTACATGCCTGTACTTCCAGATGGAGGCGCTGCAGGCAGAGCTGGATTTCCACAGCTGCCTGTACAGCCTGCAGGTGAAGCACATACAGGACCTAATGCGAGTTGTGCAGCAGGCGTACCAAGCTTTCCAGGAAAATATAGCAGGGACTCTTTGCCTGCCACTGCAAGGTAATCTTCGTTTACGCCGCCCACCGGATTGAGCAAAGTGTCAAGCAAACGGCACAGCACCATCGTGAACATGGCCCAAAGGTGGCCACAGATGGGATTGAGATGAACAGCGCGAGGAGGAGATAAAGGAACACGCATTACACACCAAACATCCCGGGAGGCTGTTAATGGAGGGGAGCTCAGAGCTCTGCAGTGATCTCAGGTCCTAATTGACGGCTCACGCGGCGGCCATTAAAAATCTGGGTTCATCTGCTCTGAAGTGTGCCGGCGATAATGTTCATGCAGCTCCCCGCAGAAGGCTGGGGGGGGGAATGTGAATTATGGTAATGGGCAGAAAATAATGCGGGTTCCGCTGCCTTTCTCTTATCAGGGAGGGATGAGTGACAGGTCTGATCTGGGGTACGGGGGTGGGCTGGTGCATTGAGAGAGAAGGCTGTGGGTGTTGTGCAGTGTTTTTAGGTAAATTCTGGAAACATGCATCTGTTTAAATGGATGTTGCAAAATGGAGGGAGATGGATGTTTTTCAGATGGATGTTGTATTTCTTTCGCTCAATTTGGGATGAGAAGTTAGGCTGTCAGAGCCATTTCTCTCAGCCATAGAAACTAAAAGTTACTGCCGGATCTGTGGCGGACATGCTATCAACCACATTTTCATCGGTGCGAGGAGGCATCTGTTCGCATCTGTCCTCAAACAGGTCGGAATGTGTAATGGGGCTCTGTGGGGAACACTTTGAGAGCAACCTCCCATATGCGGGCCCCTGCACCCATGTGTGAAAAACGCAGCAACTAGCCTGAAGAACAACATCCTGTGTGATGGGGCTTAGGATCCCAGCATGAATGCACCACTTCTTCCACCTGTGCCAGATCTCACGGTGGTGCCCACATGACACAGTGCTGCCCCATGGGAGTTAATGCTCCCCTGGGTGCCAAGTCTTGTAACTGACTCAATCAATTTTTTCCCCCTCAGTATGTTATACAGGGGGATAGAGCTATGAGCTTGTCCGTCCATCCACCCGCCTGTTATTATTTTTGAACTATTCAATATTTTCCCACAAAACTATGCACATTTTATATCGATCAACCTCAAAGTGGCGCTATAACAACAAGATGTAGCTGCAACAATGCTATGAGTTTTGTGGGAGTGGCCTCTATTGCTAAAATGAGCTCTAACTCCTGAAAGCATTGTCGAATCATCACCAAACTTCAGATATTTTATCTACAGGCCATTAGAGTCAAGTCCACCAAATTCGATGTGAATCCATCTATAGCTGGCGCGATGGCAAACAAATAGTCATAACTCCAAAAGCAATTGCCCAATCAACTTAAAATTTTGCCTGCTTGATGTTGGTCAGATTTCTTATGGATCCCTTCAAGTATCAGGCTGTTCTTCCAATCACTTTTCACCATCCCTTCAACTCTCTGAGCTATCATGTATCATCCTGAAACTTGAAAAGATTATTTAGGATGTGTGAAAGGCCAATCTACCATGTGCTGGAGTACGGCTGTTTGCTATTTTGGTACTTTTCACAATTTAGATTTTTTTTGGGGGCTGGGGAATATGACAATGGATGAAAGGCAGGGACACACTTTGCAGTGTGAGTGGTCACCATGGAAACATTGTGTAGTCGGGAGTGCAGCTCTAACACACTTTACAAGATTGAATGTAAAGGTAGGATTTAAGCCGAATGAGTAATGGAGTGACACATTCCCTGCATCAGGCAATGGCCCAGGCAGGCAGTGAGACGGTCTTCTGGGGATAAAGTGGTGTATAAAGGGGACGGTACTGTGAGGCGGGGGCAGAGCTGGAACCAGAGCTGGGCTCAGCTCCAAGCGCTCACATTACACTCTCAACAACCCTCTGTATTTTTCACACCCTAGGCCATGCAAGATGTGGAGACACGGTAGCGCAGTGGTTAAGTAGGCTTGACTTGGGACCAAGAGGTCCTGAGTTCAAGTCCTTGCTATGGCCTTTGCGGTGTGTTCTTGGGCAAAACACATCTCTCCAATGCTGCCTCACTCCATCCAGGTGTTTAAATGGGTACCAGCAAATTTTTAGGGAAACTTGACCCAGTGCTGGGGGAGTACCTGCGATGGACTGGCATCCCATCCAGGTGGAGTAGCAATACTGCAGGTCGCTTCAAGCCACAGAAACCGGGGTTAAGCAGCGGCCTGATGGGCCACTAGGCTCAGAAGATACTTAAAAAAGGCCATGCAAGGAGTCTGCAGAGTCATGAATTCACTTGTTCCTGGGCTCATAAACGGGGCGGGTCACACTCCTCCCCCTGGCTTCCAATAGAGCAAGGCCGATATAACGAGCATCTCTCACAAAAACAAGCAAAAGAGAGACGGCTGCACTGAAGGGACTGACAGATCCATTTGTGCTTCGAGAGGGTACTGCTGTATGCAAGGCCAAGTGTGGCATAATTTATTGTTTTTAGGGGATAATGCACCGTTGGCATCTGCCCCAGAACTGGCTAAAGAAAGCTATATTTCATTTGCAGGCCCTTGATGGGTGATTTTCGAAGGTGTTGGCTGGATGACATTATTCATGATGGAGAGATTACACACTATACAGATGGTAATGAATAGAGAAGTGCAAAAGGACATATTCTCATGGTCGATGAATCGGAGGGTATAATCGACCATTAATCAGTTAATCTGTTTGTTAGAAGATCATTCAATTATGAGTCTAAATGTTTAATATGACAAATGCTCAAAGCACAGCTTGATTTGTAAAATACAGAAAACATCATTTACATTTGCAGGGGTGAATTGCATCTGACGTATTCTAGGCCCTATTTTAACAATCTAAGCAAATAATCTGAAGCACATGTCTCAAGTGCATTTAGGGTGTGTCCAAATCCATTTTTGCTTGTCAAACAGCGGGTTATCAGGGCGCAATGCAAGGCGCAAGGTTCAAAGGGGTCATATATAATCTGTTAATTAATCATAGGCGTGTTTTGGGCGTGACATGAGATAAACCAATCAGAGTCTCATCTCCCATGTTCTTTCAAAGCCAGATGCCCTTGCATCTTGGCAAATTGCAATTATGATGTGTATTTACTTAGTTGCAGAAAGAAAACTGTACGCTGCAGATGAAAGGGTCTGCGAAGCGCGTGAGTAAATCATTGCTTAAAGTATGTAAACCTGAACACAGTGATCTCTAAAAATGCAATAAAAACATTTTTTTTTAATATTGTTAATTTTTTTTTCCAAATACATATCCAGGTGTTAAAAATCATCATAGAGAATTACGGAGTCTGCATTTGATCAACTTGTGGATAAAACAAGCATGACTTATCCAACGATCTGAAATGCATTTTCAGCTTTTCAAACATTCGTTCTGTTATAGTTTGTGTTTTTTCGTGATAGAACGATAATCCACGCACCGTTTTAGAGATGATGTATGTAACACATAGGCTAACCATTGCCCTGGAACAGCTACCCCTCCAGGAAGGATCCTCTGGAAAATGGCAGGAATGACACAGCTCGTCAATATCAAGAAGTTGTGGCTTTGTCCTGAAGAATTTGCGAATTCCTACATGTGAAACCACACGTCAAATCGCAAATTACCTGATGGAACAGGTTCACTAACAAATTAAATAGCCTGCATCACTGCATGCTCTGATGTGCGGACATAAGTCGCACTGACCATTCTGATATGCATTTATTAAATATCTTGACAATAATCTTTCACATCGTAGTCTCTTCATTTTTTAATTCTTTGCATGAGTGAGCGCTGCTGCTCGTCCCCGCACGTGTCGTGTGTAACAAGCAGAGTGTACATCTGTTGTGCGTTCGCCTACAAAGATGCACAATACTGGTTGAATACGCATCCTGACGTTAGTATTCAAAATCTGACCACTGACTTTAGTCCAGGTTTTTGTCAGTCAATGGCGCAATCGCTTTCTGCGCTGTATATGCACCTGACCACTCCGCTTTTTAAGACCAACATGCCCAAGGGCACTCAGTTTGGCATAATCACACTTCGTATTAATGCAAACTGGGCACTCGCTAGACAGGATAATGACATCTGCATCGGTACATGAACTAGCAAAGCTACTTCCATCACTCTTTGCGCCGCGTGTAAGACTGAGCTGCCATCTCTCCCGGATTCTGCAGGTGACTCCCGGAAAATGCCCCAATCTCCCAACATCCCGACGAGTATTAATTATTTCCCAGATTTCGAAATTTCCATTGTGTGTTGTTCAAAATGGGTATTTATTATAGAACGTAACAGTATCAATGAAATTAATCAATTTCTGTTCACTGAATTTCAAAGAAAAGAACTACGTCTTAGCCCTGGAAGTTGGTATGCCTATGAGGACAGGTCGTCGGCCGAGGATTAACTAGGCCTATCTGCCATTTTTGGCCGTCTGCCACTGAACTAGCCTAAATTACATATCCCTATTCGTCTGGCAACATTGAATTCTGGGTACCCAATTTTGCAGATAGACCATTGTAACTTTAGAATTTCATAAAATTCCAGTGTTACTTTGGTCTATCTGCAGATTAAAAGGTTTTAAAAAATATGGAAATGAATTAACAGTCTCTTAAAACCGCATTTTAAAGAAATCCCAATGTTTATTAACTAATCGGGATGTACCCAAAGCTGTATATAGTATTCGGGAAAACACACATATTGCAAAATTGACAGGTGACGAATCCATACGAATATTGGCAACATTATTCGGGAGTGGCGACTAACTGGGAAACAACGCTAAAATGATCCAGCTGCACATCTGTTCTCTCAAACCAGGGCCCACACAACATCTCTGCTCGATTTCACAGAAACATCTTAGTGTGCGTGCATAACTAACATGTATTTAAATTTTAAACGCATATTAAAATGCCGTTGTACGAGGACAGCTAAACAAACGTTTAAACACAATTTCACGAGATGGGATCATCGCACGTTTAGCTGCAAGCGGATAACCTTGCTTTTAGCCTTCAGACTAAACAGGTGTGGTCAAATTATGACAGCCATTGCATAATGGGCATTTCCAATTGTCGTTACCGGTTAATAACCCCGTATGTAAGGGTAGTTGCGTAGTGGACAGGCATTTCGCACAGAAATGTCGCCAAAAAAAACCTGGCGAGAATTTCACTTCGCTTCAAAGAGTGTCAAACTTTCTTTGTGAGTCCGGTAGACGTGAGCAAGATGCTGATGTCACATGCATCCTTCACCAAGATTGTTTCATCCTCGGCATTCGTGGTGATTCCGTACATTCATTTGTGCTTTCATTATCGGTGAAGAGTAAAAATGCAGTTCGGACTTCACTCACGGTAGCCTTTTTAGAAAATGCAAACGTAGATGTAAACAAAAAACGTGGCCTTGCAAAATTCCTCAATTAAGTGATTAAGAAATGGAAGAAAGCAACTAATTTATGCATTCATTTCATTTATTTGATTTATGAATATCTTTTCCAGAAAAGACAAGTTTTGCTCAAAACCTACCAGGCAACAAGAAGAAGGCAGGTCGGCGTCACTCATTTAGGTGCAAATCAATCTGTGGTAGTAGTTTTCGCAAGTTAAACATACCCTCACGAGCGTTTAAGTGTTCTTTTGTTATTTGACCGCAGGCGCTTAAAATATTTAGAAGCACGCGGACAGCTGCGCCTTATGAAACAGTGATTTAAATTGAACGCATGCTAAACGCGCGATTAAGAAAAGTATCCGCGTGTAAACCTTAAAACGCTTCTGTGAAATCAGCCTTTAATATTTAAATTGTCAAAGCTCCTGCGACAAACCACACCCACTTCCGGTTTCATATCCGGATACAGATACAAATACAGATAATTTTGTTGCCTACACAGATACAGATACAGGCATCGCTGTACACCCCTATTAACTAATAATACTTCTGAAACAACTTTTAAACACTGTCACAGTAAAATAGGAATACAAGATTAACACTTTTTAGGCCTTTTCCAACATGACCTAGTAATGAATAATCACGTGTGAATGATCTCACATCAAGGAAAGATGAACATTTTAACTGTGAAAAACTTAAAGAACAATCCCAATTCCAAAATAGTTGGGAAGAAGTGTAAATTGTCAATAAAATCAAAATGCAATGAGTTTCAGATCACATGATCCAATATGTTATTTACAATAGAACATAGATAACATTTCAAATGCTGAAACTTAGACATTTTACATTTTTATTCACAAAATGAGCTCAATTCAAATTTCCTGGCTGCAACAGGCCTCAAAAAAGTTGAACACAGGCATAAAAGGGCTGAAAAAAGCAATTTATATAGAAGAGAATCAGCTGAAAGAACATTTAACAAGTAATTAAGTTAAGTGGCATCAGGTGTGTAACATGATTGGCTATAAAGGGATGTCTTAGAGAGGCTGAGTCTCTCAGAAGTAAAGATGGCCAGAGGCTCCCCAACCTGTGAAGGCTTGCATAAAAAATACTTTGTGGAATACTTTAAAAACAATGTTCCTCAACTTCAAATTGCAAAGGCTTTGAAGGTCTCATCATCGACAGTGCATAACATCATGAAAAGATTCAGAGAAACTGGAAAAATCTCTGCGCGTAAGGGACAAGGCCGAAGACCTTAACTGGATGCCTTCAGGCCCTCAGACGCCACAGCATCACTCACCGGCATGATTCTGTCATTGACATTACTAAATGAGCCCAGGAATACTTCAAGAAACCACAGTCTGTAAACACAGTCTGCCGTGCCATCCGCAGAGGCCACCTAAAACTCTATCATGCAAAAAGGAAGCCATTGTTGAGCATGATCCAGAAGCTCCGCCGTGTTCTGTGGGCCAAGGCTCATTTAAAATGGACTGTAGCAAAGTGGCAAAGTGTCCTGTGGTCAGAAGAGTCCAAATTTGACATTCTTGTTGGAAATCATGGGCGTCGTGTCCTCCGGGCTAAAGAGGAGAAAGACCAAGCCTCTTGTTATCAGCGTTCTGTTCAAAAGCCAGCATCTCTGATGGTATGGGGATGCATTA